GATCATCTAGACGCTGTAGATAAGATAGACACCATGAAATTCTGTGACAAGTGGCATCTCTGTTATTCCAGCGGTGAAGCGCTCTTCCAGTGTCCGGAGGTGGGAGGGATAAGGGGTTGGTGCCCTTTGGGGATCAGCTGCTGGAGAATTGTTCTGCCTAGGAGCCAAAGGATGATGGCGTGGGTCCAGATTAGAAGCCACATTGTTATTTCTGATCTGGTTGTTGCGTTCAGCAGGCATGAGGGAAAGAGAAAAGGAGATTTTTTCGGAAAGAACCAAGCCCAGAATACAAAAGAAACCGACTACTACGGACAAGACAAGACCCAAAAGACTAATCCTGACAATCCCTGATATACTCAAAGTAGACTTGAGTGGGATTGTTGGAATCCCTATTGGCTGCTATGACCAGGGTTGTCGAGATTATAGGCTGGAGGGGACATTGGGCAGTGGTGGCTATGTTGAAAGCCCACTGGTGTTCTCATTCTAGGTGATGGTGATAGGCCCGCGTAGCGCATGGGCGTGCCTCGAGCCGTACTCAACATTTGAAGCGTTCAAAGCTTACGTCTTCAGGAACAACGGCGATACCTCGACATGAGAACACCCTCAAGCAAGGCCCGCCCTTCGACATCTTCGAAGCCTAGCGATCTCACGACGATCCGATTGGGATCTTTCGGTGGTGGCTTTATTCCGGGGGCTCAACTTCGAAGGCAAAACCCCATCATCCGGAGATTGAGACATACGATACAGGGCTGACGGGTAAACCGTTAAGTCGATGCGCTCGGGTCGCGACGCCAAGACTCGCAACGGTCGGGCCTCTGAGACTAGTAGGAATAGTGTGGTGGACGGGAATCAGAAACTGATGGAGATGTCGGGCAGGAGTAGGAAGGATAGCGGGATCGTTTGGCGCGGTCAGGGCAGTGGAGACGGTGACTCGGGAGGTTCGGCAGGATGAGGGATATTTAAGAGCAGTTTTTCATGGTTGTAGGCCAGCACTCGGCCCCTAGTAGCGAGACTCGCGCAGAATCACATCCCCCACTCAGCAGAGCTCATCCCAGCTTCAAACTTGCTTTCGAAGTGTTGCGTCTCCCTACGAACTACGACTACGACACCCTGAACTATGTCTGCAACCTTCAAACTACGCCTACGCCTTTTGACCTTTGTCTACGACCCGCGCTCCCCCTTCGAAGAACACCTACTCGTTCAGCTAAGTCCCTCGAAGTTCCGTTCTCGCGCCCGACCCTCGGACGAGACTCGTGCGCCCGTGCTCAAATTGCACTTCGCCTTCGCGTTGTTGAGCCAGCTCCCCTCTTACCTTTCCTCCGCTTCTACAAGAAGTCCGAGTGTTCAGACGGTCCGAAACAGTCTTGTGACACCGTCCCGAGAAAGTCTAGTGAGGTCGTCACGTTAAGCGAGCTATCACAACTACAAGCCCTCACCCACAACAGCTTCTCCGAGAAACAGCAACTAACCCTTTTCTTTGCACCCCCAAGTTAGGGTTAGGTTTCCCGAGATCGCATCAACGGATGACAATCCGTAGGGTGAGTGGGACCGTGAGGGCGAGGGTGAGGAGTGCGAGGATGGTGGTGAGAAGAAGGCCGAGGAGGGCAAGGAGGAGGTGGTGGGGGTGGCTGTTGATGGGTGCAAGTTGGTTCACCACTGAGAAGGTCAGTAAATGGAGTGGGGGTGAGTAGGGTTGGAGATGTTACTTGTACTCCATTTGAGGGCCACTCGGGGGTTAGGTCGGTGATGGGGGTTGTTGGTTGGCGGGTGAGAATGACCTCTACTTTATAAGAGGCCTTGAAGTATAGGAAAGCGAAGGTGAGGACGAGGATGAGGGTAGCGAAAAGGAACCAGGTGAGGATGAGGAATGCGGCAAGGATGGTGGTGGATGCCATTGGAGAGAACAGGGAAGAGTAGTTCTTATAAGGGGCTATCCTTTGTTTGGCTGTAGGAAGTCTGCCAAAGCATCTTTGGTATGTGAAAGCTTGGCTTTCGGTAGCCAGGAGTCATCTGAGGCCGGGTATCCTTTCCATCTTACCTGGTACAATGTTCGCTTGCCAACCATCTTTGAATCAATGATACATTCAATTTCGAACTCCTCCTGGTTCTTGATTAGTTCCGGTGGAGGTCGGAGGTAATTGTTTCCGTGCATCGTTGTTTCCAAATAAGGATATAGTAATCCGGCGTGGAACACAGGGTGAATCTTCCATTTGGGCGGTAATTTTAGCCGATATACCACCGATGACAGTTTCTGATTGATGGTGAAGGGTCCATAACGCTTTGGTCCTAGTTTGGCTTTTGGGTGGAGTCCTTTGAGGTTAGTGGCTTCCAGCCATACCTTTTGACCCGGTGTGTACTTGTCAAACTTGTCCTTATTTCGTTTCCTCACTGTTTCTTCTGCTAGTCAAATGCTGGATTGAATTTCTGAACAAAGGTGTGCTAGCTGAGTGAGTCTGGAAGCAATGTCCGGAGTATCGGTTGTTCCCACAGTGGGAATATTATGCCAAGGTTGGTAACCCATGAGCGCTTGGAAGGGAGACGTCTTGATCGTATCATGATACCTATTGTTATGCATGAATTCTGCTAATGGCAAATGACTAGTCCAGTCCATTGCTCAGTGATTGTAGAAGATCCGAAGATATAATTCCAGATCTTGGTTGACACATTCTGACTGTCCATCAGTTTGAGGATGGAACACGCTAGAAATGTTCTGCTTGATGCCTAATTTGGTGCATAGTTCCCTGAACATCTGGGATGCGAACTGTGGTCCTCTGTCAGAAATAGCTTTAGCAGGTAGTCCAAACCTTTTGAAAACATGGTTCTGATACAGGGTAGCAGTTTCGGATGCTGTAACTGTTTTGTTGCAGGATATGAATACCGAAGCCTTGGTGCAGTCGTGATCCGTAACCACCAGACAACTGTCGAAGCCATTACTCTGAGGTAGATCCGTGATGAAGTCCATGGTGATGGATTGGAATGGAAGATGATGTTCTGTCGTGATGGGCACTAGATTTGGTGAGTTTCTATGTGTGATGACTTTGTTTTCTTGGCAAGTTGCACAGCCAGTGATGTATTCACTGATGTCACATGCAAGAGTGGGCCACCAATAGGTTCTTTGCAGGATCTCCTGAGTCTTGTATTGTCCAGGGTGTCCTGTGGTAGGGGAATCGTGAGCTTCCTGAATGAGATCCTGTCGAAGTTTGGTGTCCTTGGGTATGTA